AATCAGATCTCAGGGGACTGATTCATCAGTGGCAGGATTCAATACCATATTGAACTTCTAAGGATGGTAACGGAAACGCTTTATGCCTCCTACCCAATGAGAGGCTTGCTACCCTTGGGCAGCTTGACCTTGAAAACCAAAGCCTGGCTGTGAAGGAAGGGGACCGTGGCAGAGTCATCAACGAAGCGAATCTTGCCAAAGTCGGCATATCCTGTGGAACTGTTAGCATCCGCAGATAATACAAAAGTCAATACTCTGACGCACCATTGTCGGTGATGAAGTCGTTGTCAGACAAAGTGATGAGATAATACTCATCCTCGCTCTTTGCACCGCAGCTGCTGCTCTTCCCCTTGCCTTTGCCTTTACCCTTGCCCTTGCCCTGCGCCTCGTCGTCGACATGAACAGGCAGCAGAGCGAGAGCCTCCCACTTCTCGTTCAGGAGGCCAAAGTCGACGGGGGCGCCGTTGTGCACGACATCTCCCTCGTCAGTCTTGAACTTGTTGAGCTCCGTGTTGATGTTGTAGTCAATGAACGGGCACAGTTCGGCCGGGGTGATGTCAGAAACAAGCTCATCGGCTACAAAGTTGCGAGTCAGTCGGTGGTAGCTCGCGCATTGGATAGCATAAACTCACAAGGATCCTCAGTGTTTCCAACTGTGATGTTCCCGTTCACAAGGTCGTCAAACTTTGGCCCCTTGATGTTGGTAGCGCCAGAAATATCCACGATATCAACATGGCGGTAACGAGACAGAGGGTCCTCCTGTCCCCGGCCAACACTCGAGTCCCGAGCCAAGACCATGAGCTGCGTGTCGGAGACGTAGTGAATCTCCGACTGCGCCGCAACGCGCTTGTTGTCCTTCGCGTTCTTGAAAGTGGGCAGCGGGACGACGAACTCGGCCTCGTACGTGATCTTCACATCTTCCTTCGTGCGGTCGAGCGCGTATTTGAGTAGACGGGTGTTGCGGCGCTTGGACGAGGAAGCACCGCCGTCTTGCTGGGCGGCGGACTGCAGCATCACGAAGAGCGATTTGCCGTCGGCGCTCATGGTCAGGCCCTCGAAGCCCTGGTTGTTCTGACGGCCATGATCGGGGTCCTCGGGATACGGAACCATGCTGCTGTTGTAGATTGGGGGCGTGTTGGAGTTATAGCTGGGTTGGGTTAGTTATGAGTGACATGCTTTGCTGTACCACATCATTCACCTGATTTCGCCGTTCCGGATGGGGAGCAGCGCATCGGGAGGCTGCACCGCCGCAACCATCTGGCCCTTCTCATTGAATCGATAGAGGAAGGGGCCATATTCGTCGCTGATCCAGAAAGATCCATCCTCCTCCACCACCAGGCCCTCGGCGTCGAGAACCACACGCTTGTCGCCGGGGCCGGGGCCTCCAAAGCCATCGCCCGGATATGTCGCTGCAGGCATAGTGGGGAACCCAGGGTAGGTCAGGCCCCCGGTGAAATCAGGGTCGATTCCAGTCATGGGCTTGCCGTCCGGCCCAGAGAGCAAGATGGTGCGCTTGTACTCGAACTCGAGGTTCGGGCCGGACGGGTTAGCAACCGTGGCCTCCGGCGCCGGGCTGAACGCAATCTGGAAGACATGAACCCTGGGGACAGTGTTCTGGGTCCCGTTCGTATTCCATCCACGATCTGGGAGACCGTACAAGGTGCCCGTGTACCGGTCGCCGGTCTTCTTCCAGTCCCTGACGGTCATGGCGGAACCAATGCTAATGGTGTCGCCATACTGGTCACGCGCATCCGATTTCACGGACCCGTAACCGGCAAGCCCGTCGTAGGAGTAGGCTTGCCCATTGCAAGAGACCGAAGCTGCCGGCGGCGTGGCGCGCTTAACAGATTTGGCGGCAGCATGCAGGGCAAAGCCCGACACCGCGAGGTATTTGAAAGACACCATCTCGAGATGTCAGTGTCGGTCTCAGGAACGAATTGAGTCTAGTTACCGGGTGGTTCGACTTAGGGGGTTCATCTGGTGATCTTGACGGGACTCAGAGATTGAGTCGAGGTGGTCTTTTAAGACAGCCGGAATTCCAAAATGGGGACATACGCACGTGCTCGAGGCGTGAAAACACAAAGGTTCCTGCCGCCCATACCAATCATAGTCGCAATTGGCTTCCCTTGACGAGTCTCTAGTGTTACATTGCGGGCCGGTGCAGTGGAGCTGCCTGCACCTCGAACACACATGTTCTCATTACCGGTTCTGATTGGGCGGTTGGTGATTGTCCAATTCCAGCTCTTCTGACTTGGGAAACCTGAGGATCGATGCTACCCCAATTCGTGACCGAGCGCCCTAAAAGAGAGCTGAGTGATGCTGAGTTGGGTTTGGAACTTTTCGATAGACTTCGGTGACATAAGGGGCGAGTCTTCTAAATCCATGTCAACAACCCCCAATTTCACACATCACGTTGCATTCTGTTGCAGGTATTGACAGCATGTCGCTGACTGAAAGGAAATTTGATTATGCAGGTTGCCATATCGAATTGGGGTTGACCTTGTCGTAACTGTCCCAGTGGGGGACGACAAAAGCCCTCGCCGTGGTTGCGTCAGGTTGTTAGAAGTTTCTACATTACAAGTTACAACTGGCTGGCGTTTAAGTGACTGCCATATTACTAAGGAGAGCGGGAACTTAGAACCCCAGCAGTTCCAAGGTTTGAACCAACCTATTTGACATAGTTTGCAGTCTGGGCCAACGTCCGGGACTCATAATCTAGTGGCACCTCACAGGTCTGCCGGGCCGTCCACGCTGGCCCAAGGAAAGGTTGTGCCGGATGCGAGGCTTTTCACATTCCCGTCTTGTATAGAATCCATGGCATTTAGGTAGTTTACTTTTGCTACAGCCTGCAAAATTTACAAACTACCCACGATCACCTTCTTCCCAGGAGACATCTCACGCCTCATACTTCCACTGCACGTTTTCCCATCCCTGCCGCCTCCTGATGTTCACGCCAAAGCCCTCGCCATGTTTGGCCGGCTTCGTGACGGCGTCAATCACCGACCGTGTTGCAAAAGCGGGCAACTTCCACTCGCCTCCATCCAGCGTCTCAACCTCGAACCCGAGCAGCAACGTCGCCATGACGGCCATCATCTCAGCAAAGGCAAACGCCCGCCCCGGACACAGATGCGCGCCCCCGCCAAACGGCTGAAAAGCAGTCCGCATAGCCTTGGCATTGCCAGGCCCCTCCTCAGTATCCCCCTTGCGAGACCCCTGGTTGAGAAACCGCTCCGGCTTGAACTCATCCACGTCATCCCCCCAATACTCCTCCATGCCATGCCCCACGCCAATCACCAACTGCGCCACAATCCCCTTCTTCAACAAATACTCCCTCCCCCCCTTATCACTCAGCACCGTATCCTCCATAACCGTCCTCGTACTAACCTGATGCACCGTCTTCCTCTGTGTCTCCTTATAACAGCTCATCAACAACGGACACCTCTCCTCCACCACCCCGGTCGCCATACCCAACACCACCACCCACCACCTCCCCCCCATCCCCATCCTGAACAACCTCCCTCCTAACCACCAACCCCTTCTCCACCTCCCTTCCTCAACCGTCCCACCAACCCCCCCTCACCAGCACCACTTCCCCCTCGAAAAAACCTGCCCCCACCATCCAAAACAACAAGCGGCACCGTATTCGCCAGCGCCGCAAACGAGCAGCATGATCTCGCACCCGCGCCACATCCCCATCCGGCATGCCCGCGGCGCGCAACGTCGCCCGCGCGGTTCCGCACAAACGCCGACCGTGCATTCCGCCTCGTCGTGCCGCGCCGTGTAGTAGGGCGTGAGCCCGTCAAAGAGGGCTTGGCGCGCGCGGTGGCCGGCGCGCGTGAGGAAGCGGGGGAGGTTGAGGGTCAGTGGGGAGGAGGTTCTTTTCGAGGGTCCAGAGGGGCGGGATTCCCATTTCTAGGGTGTTGTTGTTGTTGTTGGTGGGGGTTGGGGGTGGGGGGTGAAGGGGTTGTGGGGGGCGCCGTAGATGGCGGGTGCCCGGTGGCGGAAGGTGAGGAGGTGGCGGAGCCAGAGCCAGGTGTTGGGGATGGGGGTGGGTGTGGTGGTGGAGGGGGCGAGAGTAGAGAGTTGGGCGGCGAGGGAGGTCAGGGCCGTTTGGTTGAGCTGGTGCATGTTGGCGCCTTTGAGGCTGGCCGGGATGGCCTGCTGCATCATGTGGTTGACGAGAGGGGGGCCGGCGGGCCCGGCGAGCAGGTCGGCGGTGTGGGGGCTGACTTGGGCGACGACGGGGGTCGCGTCGAGGACGTGGGGAGTGGTGGAGAGGGATTTGCTGCGCAGGCCCGCGGCGGTTAGGTAGGGGTCCCAGACGGCGTACATCTTGCCCGTGAGCATGGGGAGCGTGGCGATGGGCTTGCCGGTTGACCGCTGCAGGGTGATGTGGTATTGGGCTTGCTCGCGCATCATGCCGATGATGTGGCCGATTAGGGGCAGACGCGGTTTGACGAGAGGAGGCTCGCGTGGGTCAACGCGTGCTTCGAGGGCTTGGAGAAGGACGTAGACGAGGGCCATAGCTATGGCGGTGGTGACAAGAGGCATGGTTTTGAGCGTCTCGAAGCCGCGGGCAGCGAGCGCGGGCAGCGCCTCCAGCACGCCGTTGGTGTCCATGTTGCTGATCTCGAGCCGCGCTCTGCGATGTTGGGGTCAATCTCACTCTGTGGACGGCCAGAGTTTGGGAAAATGGGATGAAGATGCATGTGAGCGACGGAAGACTTCATGTTTTCTTCAAATCTCTAATTTGCTGGTGCCTGATGAAGGATGACCAATGCGTCAGATCAGATTGTGACGTAGAAAGGCCCGAGTGGCTGGCTCGGACCAGGGGTTATTGTTTCTAACCCTTTAGGGGCAAACCAGTCCCAAAGTATCATCGATTGCGGGACTTATATGGGAGCACAGCCCTATCAACGACAGGGGTTAGAACCCTGGACATCTCTGGGACGCGCCAGCGCGTCAGACGGTCCCCGCCAGGCCACGGATGATAGTCCTTCCAAATCCGTTCACGGCGGGAATAATGGCCTGTAGTAACCTGAAATGGCTGTGCGGTCCCATTAAACCATGTCAAACGTGGCGCATTTTATTCTAGGCCGGCGGATTGTCGGTGATAGCAAGAGTTTGTGGGGAAGACGTAGTCAAAGGCAAGGTTGGGTTTGAGGTAGGAAAAGACATTCGGCAGGGCTGTTGCGCCCTCTGTATCATAATTTCCTCATTATTCCTAGAGAACTGCCGTTTTTCTTGCGATGCTGACTCTGACGCTTGAGGTGGTTATAATACTAAAAGGAACGAGGTTTTCTCACGAATATGCCAACAGGAGGGACCCGGGGGGCGCGGGACGCCCCGAGCCAATCATGAGCAACCAATCAGGAGGCTAAGGAGTAGTCAAGGTGATCAGTGAGCTCAGTTGCCAAGGACAGACTGAGCACACTGAGCACCAGGACAGGACCACCAATAGGGAGCCGGGATGGCTCAACATTGATCAGTGAGCTCAGTTGCCAAGGGCATACTGAGCACACTGAGCACTTAGGAATCAGCTAGTATATAGTCACTCGTCCTGGAGAGCTCTGGGAGTTCTCCAGTTAGCAATCACAACTACAGTTCGCTACAAGCACGGAAGCCTACTGTTGAGACAAAGCCTTTGTTGTCCACCTTTTGGCTGCACCGAACCTAAGCACCCTTGAGAGATTACCTTCAACCGAAGCTGAACCCTAACAGGACAGGGTCCTGAAGTAGGTTCGTCACACCTGATCTACCTTCTTGTGGACCAACAGCCATCGCTTATCTCGCACGTACAGAAGAAGTACGATGCTGCAGGGAATCCACTCTTCAGGGACGTGAATGCGTGGGTAGCCTTGTCGGAGATTTTTACCGGTATTCTGGAGGACCCAAGCCTGCCTTCCACCCGCCTGGTCATCGACGCACTCGACGAGTGTATTGGAGGCTTGGACCTGCTGCTTGACATTGTCGTCCAGACGTCGTCGGCATATTCGGGCGCTACTTGTCTGCTAACGCACACGGGACCTTCCTCTGGGTGGCTTTGGTCTGCCAAGAACTCGCCAAAACGTCAGGATGGAAAACGCAAAAGAAGTTGCCGGTGTTTCCGCCTGGGCTCGATGCACTCTACAAACGGATGATGGACCAGATCTGCAATTTCGAAGACACCGAAGATTCTGCGCTTTGCAAAGACATACTCGCCATCGTCTCGGTCGTGTACCGGCCTATCACATTGGACGAATTAACGGCCCTCGTCGATACGCTTGACGGTGTCTCTGGCGATTACGAAGCTCTAGCAGAGATTGTAGGGCTTCGCGGCTCTTTTCTGACACTTCGCGAACGCACCATATCTTTCGTCCATCAGTCCGCGAAGGACTTTTTGCTCAAACAGGCACGTGATGAGATCTTCCCTTCTGGGATAGAAGACATACACCGTACCATCTTCTCGCGATCGCTTCGAGTCATGCGGGAAACATTGCGACGCGACATCTACAACCTTGGCGCTCCTGGATTTTCCATCGAAGAAGTCAGACCACCCGATCCAGATCCGCTAGCCGCAGTACGGTACTCGTGCGTATACTGGATTAACCATCTACGTCACTGTGACCCCAAAAAGAACGCGCAGAATGACCTTGGGGACTACGGATTGATCGGTGACTTTCTACGCCAGAACTACCTCCACTGGCTTGAAGCTCTTGCCCTTCTGAAAGGCGTGTCAGAAGGAACAGCTTCAGTGTTAGAGCTTGAGAGACTGTTTGAGGTTAGCTTCTACTAATGCAATTGAGGAGCCACGTTAACATTTCGTTAGGCAGGAAAAGAGACGTTGCTTCACATCCGAGATGCCTGTAGGTTTATCCTGTACCACAAGTGGGCAATCGAGAACAGCCCTCTTCAGGTGTACGCTTCAGCACTTGTATTCAGCCCGGCCCGCAGTATAACAAGGAATCAGTTCGAAAATGAGGAGGCTAAATGGATCGTCCGAAAACCGGTTATGGCAGACAATTGGAGCGCATGCCTACAAACGCTCGAAGGCCATCGCTACTCGGTCAGCTTAGTAGCCTGGTCGCACGATGTGACCCGGCTGGCGTCGGCCTCAAACGACGGGACAGTCAAGATCTGGGACCCAGCGACCGACCAGTGCGTGTCAACGCTCAAGACTGATGGAGACGTTGATGACCTCCAATTTCATGAATCCAACTCTGACCTTTTACGCACCAATCTTGGCACATTCGACTTAGGGACTCTTACAATCTCTACGGTCTTCGGCCCTACTTCTACTGATCGTTCATCACCAATTGCTGTTGGGTATGGCTTGAGCAGCAATGGTACCTGGATTACGTATCAAGGAGTAAACCTCCTGTGGCTGTCGCCCGAGTATCGGCCATCATCTTCCGCAATATCTGGAACGGCTGTGTCAATCGGCTGTTCTTCAGGCCGCGTCTTGATCTTCACGTTCACAGATAGCAGTCCGATTCAGTAGCGGTATCCTTTTGCCTTTCGACATTCTGGTTTTTCTGTCCTAGCTCCTTACTCTTTCACTCTTATTTTTCTTTTCGTAGCGTGCCACAAGAAGGGTGTGGGAGAACCGATAAATTTAGGGGAATTTCTAGCGAGCACCCCCCAAATGGATGGATGGGATGGGAATTTATTTCGCCCGGAGGCACTGGGCCTATAGGGCCTTAGCACGCTAACTACATCCGGATCAAATCGTTTTGCCTTTAACTCGTACAAGCCCCCTACTTCTTCCCTCTTTCTCGCTGCACCATTTACCTCTTGCCTTGGTTGTTGTTAGCAGATCAGCTTGGAGGCTACTTTCTCCAAGTGTTCAGCGTCCTATCTTCAGCAGCTAAAGCGGGACCTGCTGACCCCCCAAATGACTATGGAGCACCCCTCACTTTCCGAAAATGGATTAGCTCGCCATATTTCCAATCAATGCACAGTGAATGCCAGCCCATATTTTCTGTTCGCGAATCTCACAACACCACAACTTCGGCCCAAATTTCCTCCACACAACAGCATCACTACAGCATCGCTACGGTTCGGCAGAGATACGATTCCGATCTCTTTTAAGCGCTGGATTTAACAATAGATGTCACTCGCAGGTACCCGAGCGATGGAACCGCGGATTCTACGCCCTTGCGGGGCACCGCCGCCGTCAGGTGTCTACAATTCGTTGGAAGAAGCCTGGGAAGCGATTGGGCGCCACGCAGCCACCAATGGGTACAGAGTCGTCAAGAATGGATCGAAGAAGGGGAATGCCCTCTTCCAATGCGCTAAGGGCCGAGTTTACAAGTCAAAGGCCAACCTCGAGGTCCACGAATCGAAGCGCCGCAAGACCAGCTCTCAGTTCACGGGCTGCCCGTTCAAGTTCAAGGCCAAGCCTTTGCTAAACGGCCAGTGGGCTCTGGAGGTGCCCGAGGGAATTGCGCACAACCACGGATGGAACGAAGAGACTGCTTTTGCTGCCTCGCGAGCCGAGAAGTTGAAGCCGTTGGAGCAGGAGGTTATTGAGCTAGCGAACAAGGGCGTCAGGCCGGCGCAGATCCTGGGAAAGATACATGCGGATGAGCTCGGGATCTTGGGAAAGGATATCCAAAACCTTCTTCAGCGACATCGCCGCGAGGAGCTAAAGGGCCGATCCCCCCTCCAGGCTCTCTACGAGGACCACCTTACCTTCCAGGGCAGCCTATTTGTTTGGAGAGATACCCGGGATGCCCAGAATTGAGTCACCTCCTTAACCATTGCTCCCAAAACTGGCCTTGGACTGCTAAAGCAGAACCCAGAGTCGGTTTCTGTCGCCGAGCTTGCCGGTGATCTCACCGCTGCTGGGGAAGGTAGTGTTTGATGGGGACAATATCAACGCTAACTATATCCGGCGGGCGACGAGGGAGACGGTCAACTTCCTGGGGGCTGTTAGCGCGGCGAAGCGTATGGGGATCGTGGATGAGACCATGGCGTGAATTGAGATGGGCCCGCACCCGGTTTGCATGGGCTTTGCGCGGTCCATCATGCCGTCCATCGACGCGGCCGTCCCTTCGCTGCGCCGTGGCGGGGACGACTGGCACACCTTAGCGAACAGTTTGGCAACTCTGCACGGTGTTGGTGTTCAGATCAGGTGCAATGAGTTTCACCGGCCGTTTGAGCAGGACCTGCGGCTCTTGGATTTGCCCACGTATGCGTGGAACGACAAGAATCACTGGATCAGTGCAACGGCGACTGGGCGCTGACCAAGGGGAACACCTTCTACGACGAGAAGGGGGCACAGACCGCTGCGGCAAGCAACCCCTTGGCCGCCCTGCACTTTGAGCCACAGACATCGTTGGTCCATCGTGTGACCGAGGCCGAGTTTGAAGGTGCGGCCGGGGGGGTGGTCGTGCAATCCGATGTGATACAGGCCGACTTCCTGTCTGCGGCATGGGGTCATAAAATGAACAATACCGGGGTTGCGACTTCGATAAGCAAGGAAAACCAAATGAGTAACTATCATCATAAATTGCAGCTAACCACCTGCATCTGGTCCATCCGTGCGGATATTGCCTGGACCCTTGGCAAGTATCTCGCCAACAAGCTCCAGCCCAAGCGAAAAGCGACAGTTGCAGACATCAACGTCGGAAAACTTGTTGTGAGCGAGGGCCTGGTGGCACAGAAGAACACCAAGGTGCCCCAGCTGATCCAAGTCTCCATCACAACACCCGACATCGACTCGGGGGTCGCGCAGATGGAGTGGCACCTCGTGACGAACGATGGCCTCTCTTTGATCGAAGAGGAACCCTTCGTGAGCGCTCAGACAGGATACGGGCGCGGAGGAGACTGGCTATCCAGCTGGTCGCCGCTGCAGCACCTGATCCAGGGGCGCATCGAGGAGCTCTCGCGGCTAGCCGTTACCGGGGTGGCAAACCGCTTCTCGCACAACATGGCGTACCTCCTCTTTGCAAACAACCTGGTTGACTATGCCGAGAAGTACCGCGACATGCGGTCAGTGGTGCTGCCCGGGTTGGAGGCCAACGCGGAGATAACCATCCCAGATGGCCACGAAGGCGGTGTCTGGACCGTGCCGCCATTCTTTCTCGACAGCGTGTGCCACTTGGCAGGGTTCGTCATAAACGTTTCAGACGCCGTCGATACGAAGAAAAACTTCTGTGTTACGCCCGGCTGGGAGTCTGTGCGCATATCCCGCCCCCTCGCGGCCGGCGGCAAGTACCGGTCCTACCTATGCCAAGATGATCCCGACGGCGGACGACCCCGGGGTGTACCTAGGCGACGTCTACATCATGCAAGGCGACGAGATCATCGGCCTCATCCAAGCCATGAAGTTCCGCCGCTACCCCCGCGTGCTGCTAAACCGTTTCTTCTCGGCCGCCGACATCCTCATCCTCCAAGGAACACTCACCCCAGCACCACCAAAGGCTGCAGCACCAGCCTAGGTATGCTCCCGCCTTCACAGCACCCACACCCTTTCGATCCACGCCAAAGCCACCCCCGCAGCAGCACCACCTCCCCGAGCCGCCGCCCCCAAACCCAAGCCCCAACCAGCACCAGCGCGAGCCCCAGCCCCAACCCCTCCCCCTATCCCCGTCCCCAAACCAGCCCCGACCCCAGCCCCCATCATCGCCGCAGCCCCCGCCTCAAACAACAGCATCGCCACCAAAACGATGGCCCTGCTCGCCGCCGAGGCCGGGCTGGAGGCGTCAGACCTGGACGACGACGCCAGCTTTGCCAACCTGGGCGTGGACAGCCTGATGAGCCTGGTGATTGCCGAGAAGCTGCGGGAGCAGCTGGGCATTACGGTGAATGGCAGTCTGTTTATGGAATACCCGACGGTGGGGGATTTGAGGGCGTGGTTGGTGGAGTATTATAGCTAGGTGGGAGGGGTGGGTGGTGAGAAGGGGAGGTGTGGTGTGGATCTGGGTTTTGGGTTGCGAGGACTGGGTTTGGGTATTTGGGATTGAGTATGGATGTTGATTGTTCTCCTCTTTGAGTTTAGTGACTTCAGGGAAAGGATTAGTTTGTGACTCGCTTGGGTAACGGAAGCCGGGCTGTTGTTAATGGTTGTTGGGTTGAGGGTTTATTCATTTTTCACTCCTATTGTTTCATTGATGTCAACAAAACATACATCTTGCGTTATGTTCCTAGGCAGCATAAATCTAACCTGGCCCCTCATTAGTCCTCCGTCTAGATCTAACACCTGATTACTCTGCGTCTCTTGCTATCCCACGACCCATTTCGATCCATAGCTCGACTATTATCTGAGTTGCTTACAACCACCAACCATCTCAAGAATCCCTTTGGGATTTCAAAAGAATAAAGACCGCAATATATACATCTCGCGATATGCCAGGTTGTAAACCAGACACCGAGCTCCTTCAAGGCTGCCTGACACACCAGTAAATTAGGGGTGATCAACCAGGAAAGCAGACACGACGGCGCCGACCGACGCCACGGCTCCCAGTGTCCAAAACGGTATCTGGAGGTAACTAGATTCGAGTCCCACAGCGAATAGCTTTCCGCTCAGCAGTGGGCCCACTGATCTGGCAAGGCACCCAAAGGATGCTGCGGCGCCGTTGATCCTGGCAAGCGTTTCGCTCGACGGGAATGTCTCCGTAATGCTGTGCAAGGACACGAGAATATTAGCAGGAACCGGCGTTGGAGTGTCATTCGTGAATTGACTCACAGGACGGCGGAGCAAATGTATCCCACTGAGGACAGAGCCACCTTGACCCACAAGTCCAGCAGCAATAGAACCAACCGGACAGAGGAGGGGATGTTGGGAATGAAGGGCGTCAGTATGTACATCGCTGGATACAAAGCAAGAATCCATCGAAAGGCTCGCAATGCCCCTAGGTTTGAGATAAACTCAGGGGATTGCTGTAGGTTGAATCGCAACCCTGAAGATTGCCTCCGCCAAGAAGATGATACCAATCATTCTTGTGTCGAATCCGAATCCACCACGGGAACGCGGGACGAGCATGCCCCTAGGCGCTGCTTCGTCTGCAGGTTTCTTGGTATCACCAGATTCCAAAGCAAGAAAGGTGCCCATGAGGGAATCGGACCCAACTTTGTGGAAGGCAAGCAAAGAGACCGCCAGTACTTGCAACATCACCTGAACTGTGAAGGCGCGCTCACGGTGGAGTTTGGCCGGCCTGTCCGGCCCAAAGGCTTCTGGATCTGAGGAAGCCTGAGCATCGTCTCCTCGTTCGTTGTTGAAATCTTCGGTGGAAGGTTCCCCCAGCAATGGAGTGTATGCAGCATCGCCCTTGACGAAGACACTTTTCAAGCGTTGAAGGACAGATAACCTCAGAGCTGGGCTTGACATCTGGGGATGGGTTTCCTGCAGAACGAGGAGTGCGAAGACCAAGGTAAGGACTTGCAGCAAGCCAACAACAAGATTTGGAAGGAGGTATGGGTAATCGGTCCAGAGAGAGTTACGAGGAAAGATGGATGGGTAGAGGGCAGCCGGATCTGCGAGCAGCCCTCCTAGGACTGGCCCAGTGAGATTCCTGGAAGACATAGCCGAGTTAGACAAACTGGGGCCGTGTGCAGCGGCATTCCAGCGATTTGACAAGAAAAACGCACCCAAGAGATCTGATGAAGCTGACGAGGGAGAATGCTTTCGCTTCTTGATGGTCAACAAACAATGTCATCAAGTGATGTCAACACACCAATGGATATGGCCATTGCTCACCTCGCTGCTCTTTCCTCGCCAGTTCACCGGTGCATGTTTGGACGAGGCCGACGTTCGGGTTGAATAACCCACCGAAGGCGCGAGAGGCAATGGCGACAGAAACAGACCGCGACAGCCCAAGTGTCAGGGAGGTAACGAGACCGCAGAGAATCCCAATCAGCAAGGTCGGCTTCCGCCCGATTTTGTCACTAATGCGGCCCCAAATGACTCCAGTGAGGAACTCGCCGAAGGTAAACACGGCTATCAGCGCGCCAGAATAGAATGCAATGTCATTTTCCGGAACCTCGAACGACTGGATCATGAAGTAAGCATATGGAAAAATGCTTGTCCACGCGATGGCTTCCGTGGCGCGGATCAGTCCTGGTTGTTGTCAGTACGGCCCCGGTAGACACCTACCCATCATCAAACAGATGTAGCTTGTACGCGCGGAAGATTGAGAGCTGACCTAGGACCCATATTTGGGGTCGAATGTCTGAAATGGAAGACATATACCCTCGAAACAGGAACGCAATATGATTGCAACTTCGCGTGTGCTTGGGATGGAACTGTTGCGTGGGGGGGCACGTACACGTCAGTTGCGTGCCGTTTCGGTTTTCAAGAAGCACTCCCAATTGTGACAAGAGCGCCAAAAGTTCCTGCACTGAATTGAATTGAACGTGGGACACGAAAACATCCCTATTCGGCTTATATGCATATGCAGTTGGACCGACTCGCGCCAACCACCGTCTCACCCTTGAAACCGGCCAATCCCGCTTGCAGTTTCGGGCCGCTCCTTCTCCCCGCCTCTTTGTCGCGATCAAATCAGACTTCGTCCCACTTTATGGGTGGTGCATTCTTCACAGTGTGCAAACTGTCTACCATCCCCAATCTGTCCGGTCAAAATTATGGCCCAGCTTGGTTCGGTCCTTCGCCCATACAAGATAAAGAAACCTCCAGTGCAAGACCTTTTCTTGTCCTCGGCACCCCCTTCTTTTGTCCGAAGTGCACTGGTCATCAACGTGGGGCAGCAACCCCAGTAACACCCAAATTCCGCCGGTCATTGTCGCCGTCGTCCCACTTTTCATCGATGTCCAAGCCGTACGGGTTGGAAGTCGCAGCATCTTCATCTTCATCTTCATCTTCGCTCTCGTTTTGCTGCGTTTCGTCCTCTTCTTCTTCCTCGCCGTCGGAATACGTAAGGGCACGACGCAGCCCCGCGTTTGACGGGAAGGTAGGTTTGACCAGGCTGTTCAATTGGGCGGCCAGCTCATTGGGGAAGAATTTCTTACACAGAATCATCATATTGTCCTTGACGCTGCGAGTTGTCAGCTTTTTGCAGTGAAGGAGAAATCTGAGTGGGAATAATGAAGCGGTAAAGGAGATAATGAAAGAACGTTAGGTAGGTAGGTAACAGTCAGGTTTCGTACTCACATTTGGCGCTGGTTGCAGGGAATCAGAACGGCAGTGCCTAGATCAAAGCGGAGAGAGTACAACAGGTTCCGGTCATCCCATTCCTCCTCTGGTCCAATTTAGTGACTAGAAACATAAGAGAAGGTGATATTGGTGGTGGCTTACCGGGTTCAGAGGCGCGGTACTCCCGAAGGTAACCCTTGACATACGGAGCGGCGCTCAATCTGTGCCTCGCTGCTCTCCAGTTCCCGATCTCATATTCGTTGTGGCCGTAGAAAGATCCACCATCGTAGATGAACGGCTCGCCAGTTGCCATGTCTGTGGCGGTGTTCTCGTCCCAAAGGTTTCCATGAATTAAGCACGGCTTGATGCTGCGGCCATTGGACTGGAGAGGCTCGAGAAGCCTCGGGATTACCTTGTCCAAGATGAGCTGGCAGGCCACTTTGAACTCGGGCCATTCGCCATGCTTGGCCTCGTCAAGCTCGACCATGAGCGCCAGCTGCTTGCGATAGAGTGTCGCCCACGAATCTTCCCAGCAATCGGTCATTTGCTGTATTCTGGCGTGGCAGGTCTTGACGTGGAATCCAAACTTCCCGGTTGGTGACTGCGACTTCTTGTGCATCTCTGCCAGTCGCTTTGTGAACTTTACGGGGTTAGGAGGCTGCTCGCCAACTTCACGAAACTCGGCAACCAAAAAGTAGACGTCAGAGCCGTCATACTTGCCCCAACCGTATGGCTCGGGGCCGAATATGGGAGAGACGGCGTGGATCGCCTTGAGAGACTCGTATTCTCCGTGTATCATGGCACGCCCTAGATCCCCATGGTCCTCGGTCTAGCGGTGATTGTCAGGCATGTAATTCGAGGATGCGCGATGTGGATGCTATACTTTCATGTAATAATACTTTATTGTCCCATCGGGGAGCTCGGCGGTGATCTTCCCTGTCTCTCCCCAGAGAGACATGCCGTAGTTATTTACGCTCAAAAGCTTCGAGCCCAGATGAGAGATTGCTGATAGCATTAGAGGGGCAGTTCAAGGGAATGAGCTTGTGGTATTTCTTACCCCTAGCAATAGCACTATTCAACTCGAAAGGCGCCTCCGACCTTCGGTCTGGGGATCGAGACGGTCGGCACCTCGTTCGCCGCATGGCCCTGGTAGGTTTCGCCCTTGGTGTTGTCTGAGAGTGCCATGTTGAAGATTTGATCGGTCAAGCCAAGTCACCATAAAACAACAATGTCAACAGAACCAGACGAAATGGAGGGCTGCTCAATTAGAACTGATGAGGAAAGCCCTCTTATAGAGCGGTTCTCAGGCGAATGAGTTCTTGACCAACCGCCGATCAAGGTTAAGCGCCCTTGTGATATTCCCACTGTGTGCACGCAGCACAAGCTGGGCACAGCCAGCATGTTTACCGAAACCCTGCAAGGAGTCAGGTCACATTTTGTCTGGTGGCCTGCGTCCCCGCCGAGGCAAGGCTTCGCGAACCACAGCATGAACTTGGGGCCTTTCTCAAGCGTACCTTTGCTCCCGCCCCGCCAATAGTCGCCCTTCGATGGATCCGCGGTTCTCCTCGCAGCTAAATGTTGTGAGCCTTCATAATGGTATCTCTAACCTTGTATCGCTGGCAGTCATAATTTATGCTGAGTTGCGGTAGTTTAGAAGGTTCCGTCCGGTCCGGTCTGAGACTGGCTCCAGTGAACCCTTCAGACCCCCGATCGACCCTGAGTCAAGCGCCAGCTCTGTCGAAGACTACGTCCCTCGCCGTGGGCCAACGCTGGCGTCCTTTGTCTCGGAGGACCTCCCACTAAGGCCAGCCGAGACGTTATCGTTGGAACCAGACGCCGTTGATGCATCCGTAACCGCCAGCGGGGCCTCCTCGGCGATCCGCCGCACTTCTTCTCCCCACGTGATTGAAACTGTCTCCTCCGCGCCACCCCGGAACGCACAGGGCCTTATACTCGTCCACAGCCCTCAAGACTCAACCGCTGATATAGTCTTCGTCCACGGCCTTGGGGGCTCGTCTTGGACCACGTGGTGCTGGAAACATGATCCGTCCCTATTTTGGCCAGCCTGGCTTCAGCACGAGCAAGGGCTTTCGCATTTCAGAGTTTTTACTTTCGGCTATAATGCCAACTGGCGTGGGCCCGACACGACGCTCAGCATTTTGGATTTCGCTAAAGGTCTTCTGGTGCGAATGAGAGGGTATGGTGACCATGAGGCAAATGGGGAAATGCCGATCGGGAAGGTGAATATGTTGTGTCCGAAAAACAGAATGATTAGCATGCTGACACTGTCGAGTATAGCGGCCGATCATCTTTGTTGCTCATTCCATGGGAGGGCTCGTCGTGAAGAAAGTATGCGTTTGCGTCCCTTCTAACGATGACTGGGTGCATGTGCTGACCCTTTTCAGGCTTATGTACTAGGCAAGTATGATGAACACTACACCGATATGATCTCGCACGTCCACGGGATTGTCTTCCTGTCTACGCCACATCGAGGCTCATCCCACGCAAATTCACTCAACAACCTCCTTTCGGTCATGATCGGAACATCGAACAAGGGGTATGTGGCAGAGCTCGACAGTAATTCGACCTCTATCGAAGACTTGAACGAACAGTTTCGGTCTGTCAGCAGCCCTCTGCGTCTGGCATCCATGTACGAGACTCTACCTACCAGGGTCTCTCCAGGCATCAAAAAAATGGTATATGATTCTCCCGTGCAACCGTTAACCCGACGCTAATACTAAGTCAATTTGCAGATTGTCGGCAAGGACACTGGCATCTTGAACTATCCTAGAGAAATTTCCGGTCCAGCAGACGCTGACCATCATACTGTTTGCAAATACCGGAGTCGGTTCGACGATAACTACATCTTGTTTATCACATTTCTAAAGCAAATTTCTCGAGATCTCGTGCCCCCTGGTATGTTCAGAACGATTCCCGATAATATAGTCATCTACTAATGACTAAGTCCAAACGGCATCAAACCCTACGCAAGGAGCTGTGCAAGAGCGAGTCCAGACTCTGGAATCTATCTTTGGAATCGTTGAGAGTCCAATGGAGGATCTCGAAAAGTTCACTAGCCAAGGGCTCCAGGGAACCGGAGAATGGCTACGTGGGCGGAAGAGCTTCGAGCACTGGCTCAGCAACCCGAGCGGAGAGGTTCGTTTATTTTGTCTGACCGGCATGCCAGGAACAGGCAAGTCAACTCTTGCCGCCATGACGATTCGCCACCTACAGCAAACCTTCCTTGATCAGAGTTGCCAGTATCACTTCTTCACCGAATCCCAGCCTACCAAGAAGAGTCTCGCCTACTGCCTCAGATCCATCGCTTTCCAAATCGCAACCACACACAGTGCGTTTGCCGAGCGGCTAGTTCGCCTACACCAAGACGTTGGAGACGCATTATCATCTCAAAAGTATCAGACAATCTGGGCAAAGGTGTTCCAGGGAATTTTATTCAAGATCGACATTGGCTACACCCTGCATTGGGTGTTTGATGGTGTCGACGAAGCAGAGAATCCTCAAATGCTTCTGAAGCTCGTGTCGCAAATCAACTCGTCCTCTTGTATCAAGATCATGCTTCTTAGCCGGCCGAACAAAGATATCATAGCGGCAGTCGGGCAAGGGGCCAAAGCCGCAATCCTTGACACCATCACAAGTCGAGACACAGCGCAGGACATCCGAGAATACGTATGCTCGGCGGTTACTTCCACAATCCCACATGACAGCCATATACAAGCCCAGGTCATTGACCAGATTGTCTCGAGGACCGAAGGCTCATTTCTCTGGGCTCGCTTGGCTTTGGAGACCTTACACCAGAACTGGCATACGCTGGGAGACATCCAGAAAGCCATGGACGTCATCCCCAAAGGCATGCAATCTCTGTATCAAAGCATGCTTTTGGCTATCAGAATTCAGGATCAACGGCTTCAAGATATGGCCCAACGAATTCTTACCTGGGCCACATGCAGCTTCCGGCCGATGAAATTGGCGGAGCTGCAAGCTGCCCTCGAGCCCGAATTCGGGGGGTTTATTAGTCTCAAGAACACCATCATTCAGATCTGTGGGCATTTTATCCGAATTGATGGCGATAGCGTATCATTAATACACGCCACCGCCCGAAGGTTTCTCATCACGCCTGATGGGGACGACCCGGGATTTGTTTCATCTCAGGATGGTCACGAGGCGCTTGCCAAGGCGTGTCTCCAATACCTTTCGGATGATCGATGGCGGCGGGTCTTTTCACAAGTCCCTGAAATTGAAATGGTGCACACAGATCGACTGGCAATTCTCTACGACGCTCATCCACTTCTGAGCTATGCGCTGAACTACTGGGCATATCACGTACGACACGCTCCGGGTACTTCTCTCCCACTGCTCCAACACCTCAAGCTCTTCTTTTCGAAGCATGTCCTTTGTTGGATACAAGCTGTGACACTTTCACGGTCTTTGCGCACTCTCCCCCTGGCGGCCCAATACCTCAAGCTCTATCTCAAGAAGCGCAAAGAGGGCCTCCCATCCTCGATGAAGTCTACTAGCTTGGCCAGTGGATTGTCGGGTAACAGTGAAGTTTACTTTCTCGAGTGTTGGGTTGTGGATCTTACCAGGATCTTGGGGAAGTTTGGCAACAACTTGGCCGAGAACCCCTCGTCCATCTTCAAACAAATCCCGCCATTTTGTCCTCGGGACTCGATCATCGGCCAGTTCGGCGGCCGCCAAGAGAACACCCTCATCAAAGTCACTGGCATTTCTTCCCGGATTTGGGACGACAATCTTGCTCGACTATCCGTCGATCGGGACGAAACCGCATCCAAAGTGCGCTGCACCGGCGTCTATTTTCTGACCTTGGTATCAAGCAACGGTACGGTGACCATTTGGTCCGCCGAAACCTGCGAGGTGCTCCGTAGACTGGAACATGGGGAGTGGGTCGTCCTTATGGAAACCAACGCGACAGGCAGCACAGTTGCAACCAGCGGCCGATTTACCTTCAAAATTTGGGATATCTCCTCCGGGCAGCTGCTTCGTACCATCGCCAGGGGCGCCCTGACACAGCCTGTCCAAATTGCCTTCGGGGTTGTCGAGACAGATCTTGTTGTCGCCTACGACGATTGTTCGGTTGTTTGGTACAGCATCGAATCTGGAACCGAAGTCGAAAGGTTCATAGCGGAGGAAGCTACCAAACTGCGCGGTTGTCCCCGTCTGATGGCGCTTAGCCCTGACCAGTCTCGAGTTGCTATAGCGTTCCGAGGACGACCGGTTTTGCTGTGGGATACCAGTAATAATTCGCTCAACCCGCCGCGGCGATGTCTTCGTGCTGCGGACGAGATCCGCTCAAGCGAATCAGACGCGTACAATGCCCCCGAAGTGGTGGTCTGGCACCCTGATGGGGATTCCCTGTGTGTTTTGTATCAAGACACAGTCCTCGCCTACTGGAATCTTATCGAAGACGAGAGATCAGAGTTTGATCACACCGACGCTCGCGAGATGGTTATGAGCAGCGACGGTACGCTTCTTCTCACTTGCAATTTCAGCGGCGTACTCTCCGTTTGGGCATTACCCAAGTTCAATTTGATCTACCGACTGCACGGCAACGACTTTGTTCGTGACATGGCTTTCAGTCCGGATTCAAGGCGGATTTATGACACAAGAGGGCCAATGTGCTGCGTCTGGGAACCTGACGCCCTGGTCAGGCCAGACGACATCGACCGCCACGGGGATAGTCTGAGCAGCACAATGGATGGTTCGTTGGTTTCAGAAGCTGTCTCTGAGCCCGTGTATTCTCAAGATAGTGGTGGAACCAACGTTACCGCCTTGACCTACGAGAGTGGAGGGGACTTTTACTGTTGTGGAAGGGAGGATGGAACGGTATCAATACACGACATGAAAAAAGGAAAGATTTCCAGGAAGGTTTGCAGCCACGGACCTAATGTTGAAGTGGTCAGTTTGGCGTGGTCGCCATCGGGCAGGTTCATTGTCAGCGGAGATGACATGGGGAAGATTATTGTCAAGAAATTAAGATTGAAGGATGACGGGAAGTGGGCGGTCTTCCCGGTTTTCGAAACGAGGATCTCGGACCGAACCGCCGACCAGTTCCTCTTCAGCGGAGACGAACAGCTTCTCCTGATATCTGCCCCTTTACAAGATCAAATCTGGGACCTGGGAACCAAATCAATGATTTGCGAGAAATCGAGGCAAGAAGAGCGGAGCGGGCAATGGATCACCCACCCGTTCGATGAAACCCGATTGCTGCTGGTCGAGCAGAATCGGATACATATTCATAAGTGGCGGGACCTCGAAGATGAACTGCTTCACAACATCATCACCACAACAATGGAGGACGACATTGAAACGCCTCGGCCATCATCGGCGACAAGTTCTGAGAAGGTCCAAGCGCTAGTTGGCACAAATAACCACCGGTATCTTGTCTGCCAAACTTCCCCGGAGTACAGGATGATACGGTCCAGAGGCAACAGAGACAGGAACCTCCTCAGTCTGCTTCTGGCAACGGATCTCCAAGGGCCCGCATCAACACCACAAGAGCAGGTCCGCCGCTGGCCACTGTCAGACCTCTCATCTCATATCCAGAGCTTTTTAGGATGTCTTCGGGATAAGCTTGTTTTCATTGACTATGGTAATTGGTGCGTATTATCATTTCCTTCAGTTGCTTGTCTCCGTCCCTTCACCCGTGGTGTTGCCAACGGACCATCCCGGAAACACAGCTTCGTTCCATATCTCTTCAAAAGATGCCCATGGATTACATACTGCCATGCATAAATGTTGATGACTTGTCAGGCTCTGTACAAGCGACATTTCATGGGAAGGGGACACGCCCCTAGATATTCGAAAACACTTCTTCTTGCCCAGAGATTGGCTGGGGACCGAGTCTGCTATGCAACTTATTAGGTTTACGGGTCAAGGGGTGTTATTGGTACCGAGGAACGGGGAGGTGGCAATTGTTAGATACAGGAAGGGATTTTGAGAATCGCCCATTAGAGGACCTGGGTTGGCGGCTGTTAAGGAAATGCCGCCCGATATTTCGACGACACGATGGGGAATCTTGCGCGGCTGTACATCCCAATCAACAACTCGGGGGTCGTAGGTCGAGCACGATAGGGGGAAAGAATATGCCATCCAATATCGGCGTCTCTGTCACCGACTATGTACCACTCAACCGCCTGTGGTTCATCTGCCCAAAGCGTATTCATATCCGCATCGGCAACGGCCGGCTCCTAGACACCAGGGAATTTGCTCGTATTCAAGCATGGTTAGCCAGAACCAAGGGCTGCGGCGCGCGGATGTGGGGGGCGTTGGTGGCACGGCTGGAGGAGTGTTCATCGTCTCGTTTTGAAGGTTTGTTCTCAAAGATTTCTCTCAGACGTTGAAGTGCTCTTCCGTTACATCCGTCGGAATTCCGAAGGCAACAACCTTCTTGGACTCGGCAGGACCCAACCTTCCCCATACTAGGCCTGATCCGTCGTCCTGGATGAAGGTAAACCCCTAGCATCGAACTGCATATCGTATCTCCCTTGGACCCTCGCGAAATACGATATACGACGTTGAGTAATCGCCCCGTTTCCCAGAATCTCAGGCACCGTTCTGATTGGAAACCCTGAGGAAAAAGTAAAGGTTGTCACGGGACAGCGCGTCAGCGACGTGAAGCCAAGGGGCGTGGCGGCCTTGGCCACCAGGCAGCGACACGAAACATCAATGGGGACGAGCCCTCCCCATCTCGCGTTGTTTCTTGGCTTCTTGGCAACAAGGGAGAGAGTTGAGTCGGGCCCTTCAACTCCTCACCGTGACGCGCGGGTCTCGACATGGCGCATCTTGGACATGGCCGGAAAGGGGGATCGAGCAGTCCTCTCTTGGCCGCTTACGGGCAGACGGATGAACAAAGCGCTCAACTCGACGACGGAGGTGGCAGTCCATGAAGATAAGTACGGCCGTCCATCCCGTTCAACCCAGACTTCAACCTCCTCCATCAACACCAAGAGACCAGGAATCTCCATTCTAAAGCAACATAACCATTAAAACCACTCACACCCCTAAACCAAAACCTAAAACAACAACCAGACACAACCCAACAACTCAACCCACCACCAAAATGTCCACATCCACCACCGCCACCACCAACCCCACCCCCACATTTCTTCCTCAACCTCCCCACCACCTCCCCTCCCCCACCGCCACCACCTTCTACACCACCCTGGGGCTTCACCCCGGTCCCCGCCTGGACCGACCCCTCCACCTCGGTCTTCCTCCTCCCCGCCCCCAACCAAAACATCTGCCTCATGCTACACACACAGGTCCGCTTCACGCAGTTCATCCGCCCCGGCAGCGCGGTCGCCGACGCGCGCGCCTCGCAGCAGACGCTGTTCTCCATTGGATGTAGGGATCGGGAGGGGGTGGATGCCTGGTTGGAGAGGGTGGAGAAGGCGGGCGGGAAGAGGGATTCATACGTGATGGAGGGGTTTGGGGTGGGGGAGGGCATGTATGTGCGGAGTTGGGAGGACTTGGATGGGCATGTTTGGGAGGGGGTTTGTTTGTTGGGTGGGGGTGGGGGTACGGATGGAGAGGGGGTTGGTGTTCAGGGGGAGGGAAAGGTGGAATAAAGGGGGGAATTGGTTAGTAGTCAGGGCTTTGGGTCGTTGCAGGATCAAGGGTGCTGGTTTGGGCTATGGTGTGAGAGCTCGTTGGTTGAGTGGGGGGAGGAGCTTGAAGCAATGCTGTGTGTGGGTGGTGGGTAGGTACTTTTGGGCGTGAGAGTTCGGCTGGGAGTTGGACTCGTCAGGATAAGGGTCTTTTCTAGCCTCGAATCCCCACGCTCATACCTTGCGTACCAACCGGCAGTATCGTGGACGCCTTCGTAGGATTACAGGTACTTTTGGCACATCGAGTCAGTATCCACGGCTCACTTTCCAAAAAAATGCTTCAAGTTCCCCCGTGTTCGGTCTTTGTACAAACATTGACACGGAGGGATATAGATGCAAGTGTGGCGAAGGAGTAGAGGGGGGCAGTGTTCGTCCTCTTGGTTTGAATCTTCAAAATCGACCGCACGAATTAGGTACCTAAGCTTGGAATCCTTCTACATGATCTAACAAACGTGTGAGCGATAGACATTCGTATTTCCCCATTTCATTTAATTCCTTTTATTCGAGCGGCCTTTCACTCCAAGGCAAAATACCTAGGTAGCTACCTACAGGTACTTGTAGGGGAGGTGGTCACACTCCAGGACACATCATTTCTGCTCGCCTGCCCCAGTCAGCGGGCTCGGATCTGCCGGATCCTTGTTTATAAACTCTCCTCGCGTCGTGTCACCGTGCCCTCCATCTTTTACATGTCAGTGAACCTTGATTGCCAAAGACTGAATGATGTTGCTGCGAGACTCAAGAATTCACTCACCTTGCGTTGAATCGACGCCTCGAAGTTTCGCTACTATGGCAGACAGGTCGCCGTGTCTTTCGGGGTTGAATTGCACCAGAAACGCCTTTTCGTTCTCATTCAGGACTTTCCTCCAGAAGCCCCGTGGTACAAGATTCATGGTCACCGCGCCCTTGAAAGGTACATTGGCGCAACCCTTTCCCACGACTCCCACTTCCATTTTGGGCACGCCTCGTGCTTTGTCGTAGTGGGCCCTCGCGTATCCATGCCCATGTCGCTGACGTGGTTGGACTGGGCACATTCAAAACGCCACGAAACCTCCAATCAGGGAGGCCGTCGAAAATGCGCTCTCTTTCGATGCCACCAAGACTGCCACCGGCAACGGGGTGTCTGCGGAAGGGCTGAAGCTATATCGTTCGATATATTCTCTCTCAGAAGTTTGTCGGATTTCTTTCTCCGGCGCGACGCTCATGAGCTCGATCCCAGTCTCACTCCCTGAAAAGTCGAGCTTGACCTCTGCTGACTGGATCTCACACTTCTCGCTTTTTTCGTGGATATCGAAGCCGAAATGAAGGACACAAACCTGGTCCTCGCCGTTCCAACCCCAACAAGAAGATGAGGCATAATAATGGAATGTGAATTGAACCTTATGGGCAGTGATAGCGTTTGAATTATGAATGTTCAGCTTGAAGCCAGACCTGGCTCGCAAGCGAAACCTGTCCATGAGAAGCGAAAGTGGCCTCCTCCGCGGACAAGTGAAGGAATAGGTCACGGGAGGCCTTTCAGCTGCGGGGTTTTTACTCCGTGTATTTAACCTGCACTGCCATCTCACCTACCAAGGGGGTTAACGCAGCAATAAAAAGCGCGGAGATTGGTCGCTCTGTACCACATTGCTAAGGCTGTGTAGAGCGGGGTTTCCACCATCGTCCATAACCTTTTTGCATCAATACCTCCAGTCCCTGTCCGTACTTACCCCTATCTACCTAATACTTTACATTGCGGCTCTCACGCCAGCCGAGTCCTTGCCCTTCTAACGATAATTAGACATTTTCTATATTATGCACAAAGAGTCCGACAGCGCCCCACCGGCGCCATGAATATTGTCGCTTCTACCCATGATCATGATCCCACGAAGGCTGGGCCGTACACGTTGACCTTCCGAGTCACGACCAGCCTGCAAGATGAACTCGACGGCTTCGTTCGATACAACCGATTAGGGCTCTTTCAGAAGGCTCAGGAAATTTATGAGGATGTTCTGGATCATCAGTTCGACACGCTATTCCCTGTCACAGCGGAACTGGCCGACTCGCTGCTCGAGCAAGGAGACTTCCGCCGTCTCGCCGCATTACTAGAGGGCAGGCTCCGCCAAGCGACAGAACTTGGATATGACGATGATCAAGTCGGCCTCCTTCGACTTTTGAAGGCACTGGTAGACCTTCACCGTCATGGAGATCTACGCAACTCCTTGGAAGTGGCCCGGTCGTGGCGAGAGGCAGCCACAGCCTCTATGAGCCCGGACACACTCTCTATCGTCGATGTGAGCATGCCATGGCAGCCCCTAACTTCTACGGCGTATATATTGACTTTGCAGAAACTTTCCCTTGTCGCCTATCTTCGCATTATCACTATCGCGTTTCAAACGTCGAACTGGCTTCGGCCGCAAGATATGCAGCCACCCTGGGCAAGCAATGGCACACAGCCCTGGTCAGGTTTCTACGAACTGTTCGGAGCGATGAGTGCGGACCCGGACAACGCCTGGAATGCGAGGAACATTTTCCGACCGTTGGCTACCTCGCTCACCCCAGGGATGGTAGATGTGTTGTACTCAAAGTGGCGTTCCAAAAGGGAGCAAGCAGCCGCTGAGAACGAAGAAAGTCTTCTAGCAGACCTATCCATCACAACAACTTACGCCCGCCAGCTCATTGCTAGTGTCCGTGGAAACCCAGACCACAGGTCTCGCGATCGTATTAGTGACCTGATTAGCACTTCTCAAGGGCTCATGAGTCAATTGACAACCCTCGTGGAAGAAGTCGACGACGTCACGGATGTTCGGATGCAGCCGGCCCTGAACTTGGACCTGGCCGAGGCCGAGAAAGAAATCGCCGAATACTCGAACCGGCCCCCGTGGACCTACAAATCTTTTCGAGACAAATGCAAACAATTATGGCTGTTGGCCCGCAAGAATCACGACTTTGTCACGCAAAGGGATTCGATCCGTCTACACCAGTCGATGACGGATGTGAAAATAAAGTCTCTCATCGACAATGATCTTCGTGTGATCTTTTCAGGCCGAGCCGAAAATATGTTGGAGTACGTCAAGGATATGACTCACACGATCCTCTCCGTTTTCCAAGTGGTTATGAGATCGGCCTCGTCGCCGCCCCCAGAAGAGCAAGGGACAAACTTGGATGCGGCGGCCAAGGAAGATCTCAAGAGCAAATTTTCGCTTTTATTGAACCGAGCGTGGGCCATTGAGATTTTTGAAGTGTGGCTAGATTCGAATACAATGACAACACCGCTGGTACTGTTCATGGGGTCCGTTGTTCGCCTCATACTCGCTGAGTTGGCGGACGAAAGGTTGGGGCTTGCGAATGCACAGGAAAGAATCCTCAAGTTCTCACAAGACATACAGTGGCCGCTGCACCGCATGGTGGACACTGGTTACCTTGGGGGAGTACAACTTCTCGTACAAAATGGCGCGCCACTAAACGCAAAAGACGACTGGGAAACCACTCCCTTGATGAAGGCGAGAGAGGGTCAAGATATTGCCATGGTTGGCTTGCTGCTCAGTTCTGGTGCCGATATCAACGCCGAGAATATCACTACGACATTGAGCTGGGCTGCTACAAAAGGGGGCGAGGAGGTTGTGAGGGTGCTACTTGACAGGGGTGCCGAAGTCGACTCTGTGGATATAAATGGCCGCACGCCACTAAGTCACGCTGCCGAACAAGGACACTGGCGGGCTGTAAAGGTGCTCCTCGATAAAGGTGCCAACATCGAAGCAAAGGATAAGGACGGCTGTACGCCACTGAGCCTCGCCGCCAGACGAGGATACAACGAGGTTGTGAGGCTATTCCTCGATAAAGGTGCCAACATCGAAGCAAAGGATAAGGACGGCTGTACGCCGCTGAGCCGCGCTGCTAAACAAGGATCCTGGGCAGTTGTGACACAGTTCGTCGATAAAGGTGCCAACGTCGAATCGAAGGATAGCGATGGCTATACGCCACTTGGCCATGCTGCTAGCCAAGGATGCGGAGAGATTGTCAGGCTACTCCTCGACCATGGTGCCGATGTCAATTCAAAGAATGGCAACGGTATGACAGCGCTATCGTTAGCTACTGAGAAGGGGTACGACAAGTTGGTTAAACTGCTGCTCAACCGTGGCGCCCACAGCGACACATAGCATGGGATATTGAGTCTGTTCCTCAAGGTTCCGTCTCCACGTTATCAAGCAGTCCAGATATGCCGGCACGAAGGACGGTTAAGGTGCGAGGTTATCACCCTGAGTTGTCCCGTGGCCAATCTCAAAGATGCACGCCCATCTACATGCCGCAAGGCTGAGAATCGGCCGGCAGAACTTGTTTTCGACGAGGACCCGTGACGGACATCAGGCGCCCAAGGCTATCAAATATGGTGAGGCAACCCCATTGACCGGGAGCCGACCTAGAGGTGGTGGGCATTTTCCTGCCAGAAGCATACAATTATGACAGGGGATTTGGAGTCTCTGAAGCGTAGCGGGTTCAAGCTCAACGCAATGGAAGGCATCCTGCTCGTAATAATGGAAGTCAAGGTCCTCGAAGTGAAATATTCAGAAGGGGTTCAGCGTCATAGTTATGCAATAATACTTTAGCCTCGTGATACCGCTTTCAGGTCATGTAGAAACTGCAAACGTAATGGGATGATGGCGCTACAAGCCATGCCCAAAGACCATCACTAACGTAAAACCTATTTTCAAGCCAACCGCTTCAACAGCTCATAACTTCATGCAAACCATTGAAAAAAAGCCAAGTCTAAATGCCCATCCATGCCGAACACTGAAATCTATGCAAATCCCAAAATCATAAGGGTATTGGCGTGTCATCCTTGATGATGTACATCTCTCCGATCAGCACGGCACAGCCGACCGTCATGGCGATGGCGATGATGGGCAGGTTGACCGTGGCGAAGTCGAGCCGCTTGATGTGGATGTGCTTTTTGCCGAGGATATCCCGCCAGAGAAGACCGGCCAGCGAGGCGCTGATGGCGGTGCTAAAGGCGCCAAAATTGACGCCGAGGGCCATGGTGTAGATAGTTGCCCAGTAGGTGCGGTCCGAAAGGTCGGTGTGGTCGAAGCGGTGGATTTCATGCCACGCTTGGATCATGCGGGAGAGGAGGATAGTGGTCCCGATGTTGGTGCCGGAGAACTGGATGCAGATTAGCAACGCGTGCACTGAAGATGGGGGGAGGTAAGCTTACATTGCACAGGATAACCGAAAGGAAGCCCATTCCTCCAACGGCCCCAACCGTGCCAGTCTTGGACACCCAGGCATCCCAGCCTTTGGCAAAGATTGGCACCCAGCCCTTGGTAACTAGTGCTTGGACAAGAACGAACATGGAGAAGGCGAAAGGCACCAGGGCAAAGGGTAGATGAGCCATCACGGCTGTTGCTGTTGGGAATGTTTCTTGTGACCAGGCGAAGGCGTCCTTCGCCAGCGAGACCAGGCTCGTCCGCGGCGGCTGCTGTACACGGTGCGATCCCCGGGGTGACTTGATCCCAGTATTCTTCTCCCGACAGCTCTCGGCCACACCGATTTCTTGCGTGGGTGACTTCTCAGGCGTGTTACCAGCCATGGTGGTGACTTCGTCTTCGGCACTGGTACTACCAAGCTCGCTCTTCCGACACTTCAGCCCGGCGTCGGGTAGGCCTGTCGGTGCGACAACGGACTCGTTCGAAGAGGCAGGCGGTAACCCCTGCGCTTCAAGCGTCATCATCTCCTGTTCTTGTTGCAGTTCTCGTTCCAGCCGGAGCCGCTCAAGTTCCTCGCGGCCCTTGCGAGCGATCTCGCGGGTTTCGTGGCGGTTGATCCACCCAGATGACACGTCCCAAATGAACATGATGACGGCAGCCGGCAGGGTGATGTAGAAAACGTGGGTTTCTCCCGTGCTCTGCGCCGCGGCGTTGAATGCCAAGACGGCGATCAGCGTTGCCGCCATGATGACGGCGCCGAAGATAGCGCCTTTACGGTCTAGAAACGGGTTGACGATCTCCTCAAGTGAGAGCAGCTTCCCTTGCTCGCCCGCAGTGTCCTCCTGCTGTTCTGCGGTTCCTCTAGCGTGTGGGATGTTTGGGTTGACTGGTTTGCGACCCCTTGCTTCTTCGGGCAGCTCGTGCATTCTGATGGAACGCGGAATGAGCGACTCGTTGTTGAAGACGATGTAGAGCAGAAAGGGGAATAAGACAACTCCAGTGATGATGACGGGGACGATCATGTGTGCCGTATAGTCGATAAATCGAATCTGGAAAGCGCCAGCGAGGACGAGGTTGGTCGGGTTGGACGAGACCAAGATGGCGGAAGCCATGTTGGCTACGGCGAATTGACTGTAGATCCAGGCGCGAGGGTGGACAATATTGCTCGAGACACGCGTCATGTAGGCCAGGAACGCAGTCCCCGAAAGGATGACGGGGTCGTTCCCCACGAAGGTAGTGAGAGCGAACCAGAAGGCGAAGAGGTAGAAGAACAGGCGGTGGCCGGCCTCACCCCCCCATTGCAGCACTTTGAACGCCAGGTAGCGAATGATACCGGAGGCGTCGATAGATATGGCGATGTATGCTAGTGAGATAAAGAAGAGCATAATATCGAGCGGTGAGATGTGGTTGGCACCCAGCGTTCCCTCTTTCACCTCCTGGGCGCCAATGGCCAAGATGGCGAGCAGGAAAAGGTCGCCAATGAGGGGTGCTGTGACGATGTTCATGGGGAAATCCAGGCGGACGAAGGTCGACCGCTGGAAAGTGGCGAGGGATGTGCCATCTTCATATCGGGATTGGCTGTCTGCGTCGACAGCGTCGCGGGGAGGGATAATCCGCAAGGCGCTCAACGTATTGAGAAAAAAGGTCGTAAACCTTTCGGGGGATATAAATCGGGATGTGGAAAGGGAAGAGGACGACGATGTCTGCGAGGCTCAGTGTGAGCCGGGGGATTAAAACGGCCGGTGTACTGTGCCGGTTTAGGAGATGGGCCCATGGCCCTGGGGAACAACTTACTCGCAAGCACAAACACCACCAGCGTGACAATAGACCTCCACTCCTTGATTAGGTCATAATTTAGAGGCTCAACGTTCTCTAGTGAGCCCCCCTCCATGTCGTCGACTCTCTTAGGCCGTACCGGGAGCAGCGTGACGGCACATTGAATCTAGAATGTCGCGCGAACAGACGGTGTTTCATAGCAAGATCACGATCGCAAAAGCGAACGGTGAGGTCCCTGCCTGCGGGGCAAACCAAGAAAATCGTGGGCTCGGCGGGCTGGCCGAGAAAGCCCAGTGGGTCTTGGTAGTGGGGCCACAGGGCAGAGCAAGGTTCCACGTGCAAAACCTGGAGGCGTTCAGGCTAAGTTGATTTTGGGGCCAAGCCTGCCGCGACTGCCCAGCTTCGTCTCGGACAACTTCCGCCAACGCCATTTGGACACCGACCTCTCAGACACGACAAAGCTTCGCACAGCCCCAAAAACCTTTGCATTGGATCCAAACCGGCTTGCTGGCCAAGGATTGCTTGCAGGATTGCGCAGACGCACTTCGGTTCCGTTCGGGAAGGAATGCGGGGGTCTAATGGTTGTCAGCATTGATTGTGGCTGTGCCAATGCTTTTCCTCGACTTGGCTCTTTGGGCTCACCGACTTACCCGATTGTCGAGCTTGGCACCAAGCCGTCCGTCATCAGGGCTTGAGAAGAGCCTCATCGCGCAAGCTTTCCTCCAGCCACCGGCGCGAGTTGTCGATCTCGGGCAACACCGCCATCCTTATTTGTTACACCTCGGAATCTCAACCTGTCAGATGCTCGGTCACGCTCGCTGGCTCGCTGGATTACCATGCTCAGGGCAAACGGCACGTGTCCCCAAGCCGTTTCGGGGCCCCTTTGCGCGAGTGGTGACGAGGCCCGCCGCTGAGAGGTATTTCCGGGGGTGCCTGACCTCGTCCCTCTCAAATACCTTCGCCCTGTTTTCTGTCGATGCTTGGCCTTTTCCCACGTTCCCCGCATTTTATCTTACTTTGTTTGACCGACCGAATGCGCGCCCATCGTTGCCCTGGTGGATTCGTAATCCAGATGCGGTGGTTGAGACAGAAGAAGCCATATCTTTCCTCGTTCCTTTCTCTCTGCCCTAGCAACTGAATTTGTTCCGTATCTTCTTCCAATGCAAAGCCGTGTTCCCCCGCTTCCACTCCCCAATAAGTAGGGGCAGCCCGCTTTAACCCTAACCCGAATGCCGGCTCTTGCTTCTCCCGACCTCTTGTTCGACCTCGCCGGCAGGACCGTTGCCAATTCTACGACCCTTGAGCCTGTTCAGGTTGTGTGTAGTTGGCCATTGAGCGGGCAATACGGTGTGGGTTCCAGACTATTGTTGGTTTCTCTGGGATGGAGTTCGCACGCAATGTGGGCGAGTCGTGGTTCAGGGGCTGACCCGTCATTACAGATATTACGTCTTAGTCGCGGCGTGTGTTCTCGCCCGGAAGTCGGAATGGCTTCGAAACGCTTGTTTGGCAGCCGCTTTGATCCTTCCAGCCATTGCTGCTATACATGCTATCGTGCTTGCGGCGTTACACGTTGACGGTATGTTGCCACCGGGCGCTGGCAGCTGCGTAGTCCCTGATCATCCTACTAACGCGAGTCTAGACGCGATTGACCTCGACATCTACGGCGCGCTACAACTATGCTCCATCGGAATCTTGACGGCGCCAGCTTGCGTTAGGTTGTCAAATACTTACTTCAACTCGAAGGGACGCAACGTCTTGTTTCTATGGACTATCCTCGTTCTTGCTGGTGAGTACTCAACCACACCACCACAATACACACGGAACCATATGCTAACCTCTCATCGTACCTAGGGCTTTTGGCCTTGACTGTAGAATTCTTTCGCTCGCAGTCGAAGCCATGTCTCGACGACGGTTTTGGACGGCCGCTCTATCGGTGGTTCGACTACAACTATGATAACACAACCTGTGGTTTAACCTGCTCTGTCCATGACGGCCCATTTTCACCCATGAGAGACGGCTCTGCCGACAATATCTACGTCGTCCCAGTACCGTTCGTCCTGAGATTTGGTGCCGCCACCCTTGTAGCTGCAGCCTCCTGCATCCCTGGCATTCTATCGACGGTGTCAATATGGAATAAGATCGTGAAAACCAACTCGGTAAAGCGATTCGGAGCCCCCAACGCGGATGAGGTTATTGAAGGAACCAACGGTGCTACGATCCAGGGGATGAAGAGTGTGAATAACCTGATTCGACGGCTTCTCAGCGTGGTGGAGGTCCCTGTTGTGAGTGACAGTTTATTGTTACATCGTTGCCCATCGGAACACAAAAAAGGCACAAACACGTCATGAATGGCAAGCTGACAATTGCTGTGCTACAGTTCGGGGGCGCCGTACTGGCGCTCATTATTTTCGGCGAGCTCAATTTTTGGAGCGAACCATTACATTTCCAGTCAGAACCACCAACAAACATTGGGCAATGGAGCAACATATGTGCTTCGGCGTTTGCTGCTTGTGGGTCTCTATACATGCTCTTGGTGAAGTATCTAGAGAGGGTGGAAGAGGAGGGTTCGACGCATGACGACTTGAGCCACTGCCATTGCACGTGCCACGAGCATGGCAGCATTCGCCCTCGCTCCATCAGCGATACCTCAGAAATGGCCGAAACCTCGCGGCCTCCCGCGGCTGTGATGGCAGACGACGCAGTACGCGTCTCCAGGCATGACATAGCACCAGGTTACATGTTGTCTCCAACTCGGACTGAAACATGTCCAGACACCGAGGAAGCGCTCCGCGGGTTGGGAATCCATGCCGTCGACTCCAACACATCCACCGCAGCAGCGAGTGGGATGACAAAGGCATTGGTGAAACTTGCTACCTCCCTCGGGACCACCTCGTCGGGTCGATTCGATGATAACGCCTTCCGGCAAGGCAAAGTGACGGGATTTCCTGAAATTCCAGGAGAACTGAATCGAAACAGCAGACTAAACCAGATCAAGCAACAATGGGGAGAGCCCAACACGGACATCGAAGACGGGTTGACGCCTCGAGGACGGCGTTCGCGATCGAACAGCTTTAACGGCAGCATCTCGAGAACCAATTCGATTGGTCCCCGAGCACCATCCCCAAATCCACCGCCGAGGTCGCCGACAATGGGGCCTGGCACGTCGATACTCGGCTTGCCAACCACGCACAGCCCGGAAAGCACCTCCGAACCCATATTCCCATCACGACCCTCGGCAGAAGGAGAAAAGCCGAGGTCACAAGGCACTGTCGTCACACTCCATGAGGGACCCAACTCGCCCGCGATTGTTCTCTCCTCAGACGACGAACCCGGTGATGGTCCCGAACCGGCGGGTACGATGTCGAGTTCCACTGAACAACACGCCGACCAAACCGAAACACCAACGAAACCAGGAGGACTTAGCGTTCCAACGGAAGCAAAACGCGATGCATCTGGGGGGATGTCACAACATGGAGTGCAAGAGCAACAAGAGTCACTCCCCGCGGACGGCCAATCCGCAGGAGAGGTCCATGTTCCGGCTGCTCCGTCAACGAGCGAAGGAACAAAATGAATAAAATCCTTGGGGGCGATTCCGGGAGAACAGGTGGATTGTTTGAGTTAGCGACGATACTACGATTTTAAACGATTCACGCTTAGAGAAGAGGGAAATGGCTGGGGATGGGTTTTTGGCGAAACGAGACACGGTACAGTCTGGTGTATAGGCGTTCTTGGGAGGGCTGAGAGGTTTGATGCCACATGGATTTGTGTGGCCGTTTTTGGAGTACGTCAGGCTCTAGATATCGTAGCATTTTTTAATAGACGAGAGAATTATCAAGAGACCTATTCCTCTTACACATGACAAGTCCCCGGAGCAGTGGAGCTCATGTTTCCCCGACCCGGTCGGAGTTCGGTGGGCCTCCGGGTGGGTCCCGGTCAGCTCCGGGGCATGCGGGGTTCCGGGCCCTGCTGGAAGGCAGCCAATGGAATGAATTCATTGGCTCCAGAATGTTGACCCAAACCCCACTTTCCACACGCTGTTTTTGCCGAACATCAAACACGTCAAAGATTCAATCATCATTTCGGGCACGGTTACCTCGAGCCTTGTTGGCGAAGAAATCCGCCCACAAGGCCAGCGGCTCTTCAGACCTGAGCGCGCGAGGGCATAAATCGACGACCCTTTTGCTAGGCCAGTCGCCGACCACAATCACAACCATTTTTCCAATGGATCCTACATCGCCTGAATTTCGGCCAAAATTCCAGCCCGAGCCGACGAGGCCCGAGTCCGAGTCGAGTCAGTCGACTAACCACCCCCCACCGACTGGGAACTTAAATGACCCGCAATGGAGGACGAAATGCCGGACTTGCGGAGAGGCATTCAAGTCGCGCAACCAGCTCATGAGACACCTTTACAGGTCTCACCCCCTCAAACCGGGGAAATTAAAGGCGCCAGGCAAGACACCAAAACCATCGTTGCCTCAACCACCGCCTCAATCACTACCTCAACCGCCACTTCCCACACCACACCAGGCTGTTCCTAAACGAGAGCAGCCGCAAGTGCATCCTTTCGCCCTTCTCGCACATCAAGACCAACTAGCATTCGTGGGTCAAGCCATGTGTGCCGTCTTCGCCGTTGGCATGAAGCAGCGGGAGGAGGAGCAGGCCCAGAAAGGCGGGGATAATCATGGGCATGTATCCGCAGCATCTCAGAAGCACACGGCGCTGCAACCCTCACACTCAAACCCACCATCGGGCTCATGTGCCGGGACGGGACCTGCAATCGCCCCTAACCATAAATATCAGGGGCAACAAGGGAATGACTCAGGGTCGGAAGACTCTGACGATGAGGAGGACGGCGGTGCGGCGCTTTATGGACCGGGACTCGGGGAACCCCCTCTTCGACTCGGTGACACGGGAAGAGGTGGACTGGACGGGTTGGACTCCATCGACGATCTAGACTGATAACTATCAAATATGACCCAATCACCAACTAGCACTAGCTGCTACAATTTACAGATGCAGACTCTCAATATGAGCACGGACGTACTCAAAGCTGGCCGCCCTAAAATCGTCCTTGATCAGCCGCGTAGATTGCGCTCCAAGCTCCAACAACCACTTCTTCTCCTACCACCTCGGCCAGGGCATCGTCAAGTACCCGCCGCGCGCAGTGGCCGCGTGTTTGTTTGGGTCCAAAGAAGCCACAAACGAGATGTACAGTCCTTGGATGGCTACACTGACATCGTCGGTCTTGTAAAATAAATGGGGGACGTCAGCGGTGTGGTACTTGCCCAGGATAGGAGGCCCCCCTGCCGTATGCCGCGGAGTACGACGATGCCGGAACGTCGGCAGGGAAAGTCTCCAGCAGAAGGCGGGACATGAGAATAAATTCCCAGTTCCCTAGTATAGCCGCAAGCCGCTTGAACTCGGGGTAGGTGCTGTTGGAGGCGCCCACACCCGCAAGGGTGTCCCGGTTCTTGGGGTAGGTGGCCACGAGCCCTGCGACCTCCTCGGTTGTGGCGTTGCGGAAGAAGATGGCTTGGAGGTAGGAGATCAAGGCTGTTTCGGGGGTGATATTGGATTGGAACAAGGCAGACACCGTTCCCTGTACCCTCGCGCCTCGGTTAGTCTATCACGGCTCAAAAGAACGCCCTAGGACAGATCGCGTACCTCATTCCTGATTGCCGATGATGATTGGGACTCTAGCGTACTTCCCTTCCCGTGGAAGGACTTCCGGACTCGCCGTGAGAACCCGACCGTCCGGCCGAGGAGCGTAACTCCACGCCAGAGAATAGTGTCCCAACGAACCAGGCACGCTATTCGACGCATTCAGCAGCGTATCATAGTCCACCCCCCGCAGACACTCCACCCTTTCCCCCTCCGCCGCCGACGCGCACCCTGCCACTTCCACAATCCTATCAAAATGCTTCTGCGCCGTCACCCCATCCACCGGCTCCGAGGGCGTGATACTCCCACTATTCATAACCGCCCCGCGAAACAACAGCCTCCACTTATACGCATAATTCCGCATCAAACAGCGCCATCTGCTCAAACACGCTCACCGCGCCCGCACTCTCCCCCGCAATCGTCACCGCCCCAGCATCCCCCCCAAACGCCTCCACATTCTCCGCCACCCACTCCAACCGCTCATCCAACAACCCCAAATTCGCTTCCCCCGGGGGGTACTAGAGGTAGTACTAAAATAGTACTAATTACACTAGTATTTTACTGAGTACTAGACTAGACTGGTATAGTACTAGTACTGGATCAATACCAGACTAATACTATACTAATCCGAGCCGGGTATGATGGTATGGTGTGGAAAGTTCAATTGCACAAGACCATAAACTATAATCATTCTGTCCTGTTTGGGATGGAACTTGGGGTGAAAAGCAGCCCTTGTGTATGTGCCTTACACCAACAACATGCGATCTGAAAACGGCTGGTCCCCGTGTCTGTACGACGTGGGAAAACCAGATATTTGCTTGGCTTGTGAATCTCCTCGTAGGAGAAGAGGGGACCATGTCGGTAATTACGTGCGAGGTACCGGACATTGAGTGCTGACACTGCTGAACGCTGCAGCAAAGGGACAGGGGCGTCTTACGGTTCGGGTTGGGCACACTCTTCGTCGCAGAAGTTGTTGGACATCCAGCATCCATGTACTTAATCACATGCTGACTACCTAAAGAGGATAAGCGCGTGAAGGAATCAACCAACCAACCTCCGTCATTCTTCCAGGCAGACAACAAGATCAATCTCATCCTCATTTCCGGGTGGGAGATAATAAGCGAGACGCTGTCTCATGCACGCCCTCCCTTGATGGAACCCAAATACCCGGACATTCACTCGTTCTATCTTTTTTTTTATTTGCCATCTTAGATATCAACAACGAATCAATAACGAACCATGGCAAGCAAAGTAAAACATGACACACCAGGCACCGAGCCTGAGACGATGGTGCTTCGCAAATTCGGAATCAAGTAAGCACCCTTTCACCTGTTCCGATCCCCGGCTAGTCTTTGGAGGCATCTGGCTAACGACAACCATGTGCCCAGTGAGACGTACCAACTGGCCATGTATCTATTGGACCAGTACCGTGGTACCATTCTATCTTGCCGCTATGAGATCCCACCGCGTCTTGCACCAGCAGAGTCTCGAACCCAGCTGGAGGAGACAATCAAGGTCGCTGTCGTGGACACCATCATGAGACACCCGATGCTGCAAGTGGGCATGATAGATGCCACCGCCAAGACGCCCTCGTGGATCCAGCTGCAGAATCTCGATTTAAGCCAGCATATCAACTGGGTTCATCTCACGGAACAGGACAACTTTGAACGCGCGGTGCAAGATACCTTCAGCACCCAGCTCGATGAGCATTTCCCAGACCTTTCTATCCGGCAACCGGGTTGGAAGCTCACCGTCATTCGGCAAGGGGATGCTCCCCTCATGGAGGCCCTGCTCACTTGGAATCACCCCCAGTTCGACGCCATGGGCGCCAAAGTCTTCCACGAAGATTTGATCGAGATGCTCAATGCGGACAGCGCGTCATCCACCGAGAGGACAGGCTTGGATGGCAATGTCCTCGCACTGCCCCAAGCGCGCCCCTTACTCCCAACCCCGATCGAGGGCTTAAAGAGCCTCCCCGTTGATTTGAAACACCTCGTCAAGGCATTCTGGGAGGAAACTCGGCTCTAGTTTCTCAACCGGGACGTATCATGGGCCGCCTGGTGTCCAATTCGCCCCTCGCCGTACAAGACCCAGTTCCGGAGCTTTTGGGTGGACAACGCGGCCCTACGTGCGATTCAAGGCCTCTGCCGACACAACAAAACCACCATCACCGGGCCTGATAAACGGGCTGGCACTTATCGCTTCGCTCGCGCTCGACGCCGCAGTCGCCCCGGGCTTCAAAGCTCATCATCGTCGACATCGACGATCTCCCTCCTCGCCCCGAATGACGCCCCTGGGGACAGTC